CAGGCCGATGACTGTTGTATCGTCCGCAGACTTAATGATGGAGTTTGAGTTATGCCTGGTGACACAATCATGGGTAAATAAGGAGTAGAGGACAGGACTAAGCACACAGCCTTGGGGGACTCCAGTGTTTAGAGTCAGGGTAGAGGATATGTTCATGCCCACCTTCACCACCTGCAGACGTTCCGTCAAGAAGTCCAGGATCCAATTACAGAGGGAGGTGTTCAGTCCCAGGTCCTGGAGCTTGATGACGAGCTTTGAGGGCACTATGGTATTGAATGCTGAGCTGTAATCAACAAACAGCATTCTCACATATGTTCCTTTCTTATCCAGGTGTGAGAGGGCAGTATGGAGGGCAGTGGATATAGCATCTTCTGTTGACCTGTTCCGGCGATATGCAAATTGCAGTGGGTCTAGGGTGTCAGGCAGTGAGGAGGTGATGTATGCTTTGACCAACCGCTCGAAGCACTTCATGATCACTGATGTGAGTGCAACAGGGCGGTAGTCATTTAGGCACCTGACTCTCGGTTTCTTAGGAACAGGGACAATGGTGGTTTTCTTAAAGCAAGAAGGAACTATAGACTGAGCTAGAGAGAGATTGAATATGTCCTAGAAGACATCTGCCAGCTGGTCTGCACATGCCTTCAGAACACCGCCAGGGATAGCATCAGGGCCAGGAGCCTTGCGTGGATTGGTCTTTGTGGATTGGTCACTGTGGTCAGAGTGCTCTTGCACACTCCTCCTTTGCCCGAGAGCACCAGGACCACATGCCGAACCTGCGCCAGGTTCCCTTTCTCTGTGGAGAATCAAGGAGAGTACATTCCGGACAAGATGAGAGAAGCAAGAGAGAAACCCTGGCCACAATTCAGCAGCAGATGGCAGCACAAACAAAGAATTATATCCATCCATCCATTTTCTAACCCCTTCATCCAATACAGGGTTTTGGGGGGAGCCGGATGCTATCCCAGCAGGCAATGGGCTTGACACTTCCTGGAGTGTATCGCAGGGCACACACAGACACACACTCACACCAGGACCAATTCTCCCAGAAGCCAATTAACTGAAGGATTGGAATTCTGGAAGAATAGTGGATTCTCTTTATTACACAATATTACCGGCTTTAAGATATGTATTAGTTGGCTATTTAGTTTTGTCCAGTGAATTCTATGCTGCTTTGTGTCCCCCTCTGTGACCCTTATCTCTTTCTCTCGGTAAGGGGAATGTTTTCTGCTACAGATGACTGTTTGAAGAAGATGGACAAAAAGGAGAGATAAGAGGGACAGCAGCTGCCTGTAAGTGCAAGATATCAAGAGGACCACCTGGAGCAAAAGGCTTAAAGTTCAGATTACATGTTGCTGAGAAATAGATACAATGGATAGTGCAGGCGTAGCTATAGTTCGAAGAATCGAACAACAGAAAGCCTGAGAAGAAGGGTTTATAACATTCTGTGCCAAACACTGTGCCACCATGCTACCCTGGAGAATTGCAAACAGGGCAGAAGAAACGTTCCAGGATCACAGGGATAATCTGCCTGTTCTAGAGCAGAGGCATCCAGGTAACATTGTTAAAGCCATTTTACAACTCTCTTCTTGTTTGAAATAAAGAGGAATGATAATTTGGATTGTACGAATGGGTTACACCTGTTTTTTTCACCTAACATTCACAATGCTACATCTAGTGATTTATGTTGGATTTCCAGTAGGTTGAAGAAGTTAGCCGTTAAACTGAAATGTAGTTACTGAAAGATAAAGTTTTAACCCCACAGCCTGACGCATTCTAACACTACAAGGTCAAAATCACCAGCACTATGCAATAAAGTAGGAACAATTCATTGCAGTATATCAGTATATCTATGCCAGGTGGATTACAGTTGGTATCTGGCCCTAAAGTCCTTGAGCTCTCTGAAACTGAACAACTTTTTAAAGTTGCCCTCAAATTCAGCAGAATTAATGTGTAAATTAAGAGCTAAACCTCCGCTAAATTGGTACGCCACAGTGTGGGGACTGCCCACATTATAATTGTGTTTTAAAAAGAGGCAACTCAAGCATATTTCCGTGTCATTTTAATCTAGCCGTCATTTTTCAGACAACCGTAGTTAAAAGGATTTAGTTTTATCGTGGGATTTTAGAGATAAAAACAACAATGATCCAGACGAGGAGCTCCTTGTCGGAACTACCCAGTGAACTCGGATCTTGGGAGCAGAGAAGGCGCTGGGATGAGAGTTCAGCAGCAGTCTGGCTGGAGGTGAGAGCTGGAGGTGTTCAGTGTCCCTGGGTAAGAAGTGAAAGCCCTTATATGACTCCAGAGAGCCCCAGTTAAGTCACCATTGGCTTTTGTGCCTGGGAATGGGAATACTGGCCTGGTAGGAAAAACAGGAATGGGTAATTGATGAGATACGGGCATGCAGGATGTCACTTTGTAATGCCAGTCCAGAATGCAAGCTCTTCCCTATCAAAATCACAACCCAACTCATACTTTATCAATACTATGTAAAGTTCCAAAGCAACTAGTGTTTTAGACTTGGGTATCAGCACACTAATGTACAGATAGCAACACACAGTGCCAGACGGCTGTCTAATTGCGTTCTGCCACTGCCCTCTACTGTAAATATTTTGCCATACAGCATCTCTGGCTATGTGCAAATGAAAGAATAAACATACTGTAATATCATAATATCCAAAAAATGTTTTTTTAGCAATCCTTTGGTCTTTCTCTTATTTACTATTACTCAATAAGATAACCATGGATATCTTGTTCTTCTTCAACTGTCATCTTACCAGACATGAGTAGGGGGTTCCTTTACTTATTCAGTTTGTTACAAGAACACATGAAAGCTTTAACTGGGGCTGCATTATCAAACAGGAAAAGGGACTAGAGTCTACGAAACAGGCTGTTTAAGAACATGAAGCAGAGACATAGGTGGTAGACATGATGTCAAAACTGCAAGAAAATGTAACATCTTTTATTTTGTTGACTTGCATTTTCGTGGTCCTCTTATACATTCATAAGTACTTCATAGTATTTTGAATTGAATGAATGAGAGACTGTTCAATCTATCTGGATTCTATTGGGAAATTGTGTATTCAATTCTTGAAGGGGCCGACTTAAACAATACCTTGTTCCAGACCCCCCACAATGCTTTGCTCAAATACAGTTTCCAAAATGCCGTTTTGACTGGGAAAACAGTATCTACTTATGGGTAAGAGGCCAGCTACTACATTTTTAATTTGCTGATGAAAGCCAGGATGTTGGGTAAGTTCCGTGAAGTTGCTCCCCTACAAACTTAACCTTGATTTTGAAGTATTTTCTGTGCGTTTAGGTAAACGGGAATTGTTTGTTGTGATCATACCGTAATCAAAAGAGTTGCGGGTTTAGCCTTAAAAAGCGAACAGGTGCATGATCTTAAAAAGACTTTAACTAGCACGTCTTACTAATTCGTAGCGTTTTTAATATTTGTTAAATCTGAAGGAGCAATCAGTTTCCCATCGTGTCCACTTTATATATGCAAATCGAAGGACGTTTAAAGATTCGTTACGTCTTTCGAGCCACGTTCTTAAAAATAATAGAATTAGCAAGTTCTTGTATTTTACGTAAAGTAAATTCGGAGACGTGATAGAGAGGCAGGAAATTGTTTAAAGAAACATTATGTACTAAGTTAACTTAGATAGTTCAACACATCTGCAACAGCATTGGAATCCTTCAGTGTCTCACACATGCAGACCTCGGATTTATTTGAATATTTTTATTTTCAGATAAAAATAAATGAACATACATTTACGTTTTACAGGCAAAGACGAAAACCTCTGCCAGAACAGTTTTTAAAGGAGACCAAATGAAGGCTGATACAAGATTAATCAAACCTGGCTTCTGACTTTTAATTATTTAGAAATGTCTAAAACACGGACTGGATCCTGGAGCCGGGCGTCTCCGCTTTGAAAACAGTCTTTCAGACGCAAGACATTTGAAGTACAATCCCGCTCCGTACTTCTAGCCGAGCCGCTGATGAAGTAACCTTATTGAACCTTCAATTGGACATTTACGTTTCATATTCAATTAAATTCAAAATACACTATTCGTCCCCAGGGATTCAGATTGTCATTAGTAATAGGTTAGAAATAGCGTCAACCTTGCGCCAGAAACAGTGTTTTAGATTTCCCTTCTTTTAGCTTTGGATCAAGCGGTAAGAATTATATAGTGTTTGATAGTCAATCTCACCTGTGGTTACTGTACTGTACTGTACTGTACATCACTCATTGGGTGTGGTTCCCCAGCACTTTTCACTGTATAACCTTTATATGGAGTGTATAATACGATATTGAATTTGAATTTAAATTCATCAGAAGGATTTTGCATCTCTCTTTTCTAATTATGAGTTCATATAAAGTTCCTGCATACCTGTCACACACAGTTTCCGCTAGTTCGTTGCCAGCTGTCTGATCTTCATAGACACCATTTTTACCACCTGCACTCTTTGCACTTGACTACAGTTACTTACTTATCTAATAGTATATTAAATAATAGCTTCTCTGATCGTAATAATAAGGAGCGAAGTGATAATCCATTGATTGCAAAACTAGTTATTACGCCCGTATCATTATTCTGTTTTCTATGCATATAGCAGTTCACATTCTATTTACATGCATTGCTTTTGATTTTAAAATTTTCAATATGAAGGATTAAAATTCTATCTGGAACCTTGTAAAACGCCCATGGAAATATGAAATATAGCGTGTCGTGACACCTACTAGCATAAAGTAACTAAAGGGATACTCAGCTTGGGTATAAAACATTTCATTCATAACAAATCGTTCATATAATTGTTTCTAAGTTGTCTTTAAAATCGTTTCAGACATTTGGTTAAAAAAAGTTAAAAACATCAACATTTCAACCTCTCAGACTTGAGACATAGACATGACACATGCCATACAGGCTCCCCCAACTGCATATTTTGATACTTTATTTTTCACTGTCATTCGAAAAGATAAGTAATGTCCAGTCGCAAAATAGGCTAGAAAAGCACTTTACAAGGGCGTTTCAGTACTTTTAATGCTTGAAAATAGAGCAAACAGGTGGAACCGCCTCGTCTCAGAACTATGACTTGGCTTTAGTCTGAATAAGAGATGTACATGGCCGGTATTCTGCGTGGCCGGCCTGGTGGCTCCGCGGGCTGAACCATCGGACACTTCTAAAGTTCAGAGAGCAGATCGACTCCCGGAGAGTCTTGTGAGTTGAAGTCGAGCCCCGAGCCTCCCCGTCAGTCTGAGACCTAATCCCCGGGTGAAGCTCTCATGCTGTCGGGGTGAGTTTGTGGGGGTGGCTGTTCTCTACCACGCCGGCCGTTTTGGGGGGCTCCATTTTCGGGGCCTTCCAAAACAGGGAAAATGGGGGGTTTAAGACCTTTATAAATGCATAGATCGGAATTCAATTCGAAAAAGCAGCCCCTTATACCACTGAGACACCTGCAGGACAGGTGTGGCACTAGCAGTGAAAGAGAGGTGCAGTCCTAACTAGGAGCGACAGGGGTCTCTCTCCAGCACATTTCTCTTGATTCGACCAGCTGGCCGGAAGATAAACGAGTCCGGCAAACAGTTTTGTAGGGGAATGTCACTGTATTGGGTTCTCTGAAAATCCTTAGCCTTTAAATACTAAATTTTTGATTTGGTGAGTTCAAGTTTCTATTTATCTTCAGTAACGTCAGTGGTGAGCCCTTGTAACCGAGTGCACAGCTGTCATTCAGGAGCCGAGCCCGCCCCCAGAGTGACCTTCCTCAGCGGACACGCCCCGTCCACCTGTTCCACAGGTGCGCCCGGCAAGATGGCGGCGGGGGGAGTTTCTGCGGCGTGAGGTGCGTTTGCGTTTTATTTCGAATTTTCTTATTTTAAATACAAAAACTCAAATTTCACTTTGAGGAAAGTTAGACAAATATGTTTTGTTGTTGCAACTTTCGTTAATTGCATTTGTTCCTGTTTAATTTGTGTTTTAGGACGCCGAAATGAGTGTTCTGTTTGAGCGTGCTCTCGAAGTTTTAGAAGTCTGCGGTCCCATCTTATCTTTCATGTAAGTATGTTTTTATAAGATAAGGTCTGTGTTATTTAACAAAAAAAAGCCTGTAGTTAACCTTCAAACAGTTGCTTCCTAAAGTGAGTAGCTGTGAAATCTCTGCTTTTCGGATTCGGGCTATAATAACGCTTTTCGCTCAGAAATGATAAAATATTGTAAAAGTTTAATTTACTAATTCGTATGTTTGTTTTTTTATTTCTTTAGGTGACAAAAGGAATTCAAGAACGGGTCTCCAATTATGGAAGAAGCGTTTTTTTCCAGGGTAAGTTATATTCCTTCCTTCCTTACCCATCCTAAATTCGTGAAAGTTGTAAAATATTGTATAAAATAAAAAGAATTAAATTCTCAAGTTTTTATTTCTACAGCTGACAAAGGGATTTCAAGAACGGGCCTCCAGTTATGGAAAACTTCCATGACATTTTATGACTTTTCTTTCTGACATTTGATTTTTGATACCAGTGGCTTGATCTGTAATGTCCCGATTCAGTGCTGTATTTTATTCTTGACCTGCAAGATTCCTGTTGACTGCTGCTACTGTATGTGCTGTGCATTCTGCAGTAAAAACTCCTGATTACATGTTCTGCATTGTCCTGTTCCACAGGTGCGCCCGGCAAGATGGCGGCGGGGCGAGTTTCTGCGGCGTGAGGTGCGTTTGCGTTTTATTTCCAATTGTCTTATTGTAAGTGCAAAAAATCAAATCTCACTCTGAGGAAACTTTGAGGAAATGTATTTTTGTTGCAGCTTTTGTTAATTACATCTGTTTCTGTTTAATTTGTGTTTTAGGACGCCGAAATGAGTGTCCTCTCCGTTTGAGCGTCTTCTCACACCCAAAAGTATTAAACTACACCCGTAGTTTTAAACGTTTGCATTCCGCGTTCTTACACTATCTTTCACGTAAGTATGTTTTTTTTTAGATATGGTATCTTTAGGTCAGTTTTCTTTAACGAAACAAAGACTCTAGTTTACCTCCAAACATTTGCTTTAGTAGTTAGTAGCTGTGTCATCTGTCCTTTTCGGATTCGGGCTATAAG